GGAGGTGGAAGCAGGAGAATCGCTTGAGCCCAGGAGCTGGAGGTTGCTGTGAACTGTGATGCCATGGCACTCTACTCAGGGCGACAGTTTGAGGCTGTCTCAAAAATAAATAAATAAATAAATAATAATAATAAATAATATTGTGTTGACCAGCTTTGAAATTAGATCTTAAATCTACTGCCTCTTGTCACCTCCACTGCTAACCCCAGCCCAGGCCTCCACCTTCACTCCCCTGCATTGACAGAGCCATCCAGCAGGCCCCCATGTCTCCACCCTCCTACAATGAACACCCACACAGCCACCAAGTGATGCTTTTCTAAAGACTAAGTCAGGTCATGTTTCTCCTCCTCTCAATTCTCTCCTAGGGAGGACAGGGGGTTGTGCTCATGGGGATGGGCTTGGTGCTTCCATGGGGAGGTGCTTACAGCATACCAAGGAGGGGGCTTGCCCATCATGGGCATTGAGGAAGGTTCCAGCAAGGAGAGGCACAGAGCAGCTTAAGGCTCCTTGAGGAAGTGGCACCATTTCAGTATGTGGAGGTGCTGGGGCGGGGTGGGGGGGAGAGGTGGGTGAGCAAAGACTTGAAGCTGGAGAAAACCAGGTTTATGATGGAGGGTGATAGTGGTTCCCATCGCCAGGTAAGACTGGGGAAGCGTGTCGGTGCCAGATTGTGGGGTCCTTAATGACCAAGGTGACCTGGAGCCATTGGAAGTTCCTGAACAGGAACAGTGCCTGACGCAGAGCTGGCAGCTGTGTGGTGGAGTTCTGGAGGGGGCAGAGGCTGTTCTGGTGTGCAGATGTGGGGGATCCAGATGTGGGTGGAACGGGCCACCTGGACTTTTCTCCTGGTTGCTGCAGGGCCGGAGGGTGGGAGGTTGTTCAGAGAGAACCCATAAGTGAGAAGTTAAAACTGACGGTCGGGCATCTGGGGATGGTGCCTTTGTCCTGCATCAGGAAATGCTGAAATGGCCCTTGGTGCTGGGACAGTGGCAGTAGCCAGTTCTGTACCACATGGCCAGAGCAGGTCAGACCATAGGTGGGCCCCTCACCCAGGGCAGCTAATGGCTCACAGGGTGACCTGGAATGAGAGCTTTGTGCACTCACAGATGCTAAGAACAGCTAGATCAGACAGTCTTTTCTGCTGAGGAGATTGAGAGCTGGTTACTCAGTAGTGGGAGGAAGGGAAGACTGAGAAGGCCCCCCCAAGGGGAGGAGAGTCCTAAGGACTTCAGGAGATTATTGGAGGACCAAGGAATGACAGGGCCTGGAACTGTCTTCTCCTCTCGGTCTGCTGTCGGTTCCCAGTTTCTGGGCAGCTGCAATGGTCTCTCCTCCCAGAGCAGCTGGGTGGTGCAGTGTCCTGATCTCAGACACCCACCTTCCTCATTCCCAAGCACATGCTCCCTGCACAGCCCCTCACCTTGGGCACCCAAATGGGCCCCCGTTTTGTACCACCAAGAGCATCTGGGTCAGTGTCACCAACCCTAAGGGTCTGCCGGGCCTGAACCCAAACTTTGCTGTGATAAATTCTTTTATCCAAGGTGTCCAGTGAAAAACAGCAAACCCCGTTGCCCTGTGGGTCTGTGGAGGGATTTTCTTGAGGGCCAAAATGAGTGTTTTTCAGCGGGGGTCCCTCACACAGGATACATTAATACAGAGCCGAGAAAAGGGCAAGACACTTGCCTGGGGCCCCAAATTTAAGGGGACAGTAATTAAAAGAAATAATATTTAAATAAAAAATATGTATTTTTAGAGATAGAGTCTCACTTTATTGCCCTTGGTAGAGTGCTGTGGCGTCACGGCTCACAGCAACCTACAACTCCTGGGCTTAATCGATTCTCTTGTCTCAGCCTCCCAAGTAGCTGGGACTACAGGTACCTGCCACAACGCC